TCACAACCCTCGGCTTAACAGTGTGCCCAAAATTCCCAGTTGCCCATCTTCTGGGGGAACATAAAGCCTTGAAATCTCATCTTTGATAATTGATACTCGGAATGAACATGTTGCTGTTCTCCAATAGCATAGTACCAGCAAGTGTACCTGGTTAACCAGCTGGGTCAACTCCCGAGGCACTAAAGCAGCATCTATAGAACACAGGACAGCATCTTTGCACCTGACTCCTTTACTCAGTAAGCTCTGGAGCTAGAGAGAAAGGGAATGAGAATGCAGGACCTGTACTGGAAGGGAGGTTCAAGCCAAGAGCCACTATGGAAAGTCTAGAGCACCTAGAAAAATGGCACCAAGAACCAGTAAAATTCATGGAGGGAAGAATCACAACACTTACCTCCACTGCCTTAACCTCTAAACCAAATGTATAGTTCCTAACTTTGCCTGGGAAGTTTCTGTGTACAGTGAGAGGAACGGTACTGTTACCTGTCTTCCAAACCCCAAAAGTGTGCATTGTAGTAATGCAAATGAAATAGAAAAGGGAAAGTTCTTCTCAGGAAGTAAAAATTATTTCCACTCTTGCTAACTGTTGTCTCCACTCAGAAACCAGTATTACTGGTTAAAAAAACTTGAAAAGAATATTAATTATAGATGTTAGTTGGGCAAAATATACTAAATATTACCACTTAATTTTTAATAGTGAAATCTAAATACAACCTAAATACCACAAATGATGACTAATCAAGTAAATTCTGCTCCATGTAATGGAATTTTTCATATAAATACAGATGTGCATCTACATTTCTTGTTTAAAGGATGAAATATTGTTGAGAATCAAAGGAGATTCCAAAGCTCAATGCATCCTTTGATCTGGTTATGAAAATCTATATACATGTGAATATATATGCAAAGAGATGCTTTTAGGACTATTTTACAAATAGGTTGTTAGCAGTGGTTATCTACAAAATACGTAAGTTATTTGATTTTATTTTCCTCTGTCATTTTTTTCTACTTTAAATCTATAACTTTTCCAAAAGCAACAAACCATGTTTTCCTTCTAAAAATGAATAGCCTAGCTAAATCATTTTACTTCAAATGCTTTGATTCTGATAATCTAAACCATTGTAGTTTGCTAAAACAAAGATGAATGGTAGAGTAAAATCCATGCCCATGATAGAATCTAAGCTGGAGTGTACCACATCCATGGCTCTAAGACTAGAAGACAGTGGAAACAATGGTTCTGATGCAGAAAAAGTAGAAACTGAAATTTTGGCACTCAGTACAGAATCCTAAATAAACTGGTAAAAATTTCTTGCCTTTGAGCACTGAACATATTCTATATTTTATTTAGCGTACTTTGCAAGTATATTAGCTATGCTGCCATTTGGACTAAGGTGGCTTCTTCCCATTACTTGATTCTGTCCTTTTGAAGGCCCTGCCACTTCACTCACCTCTTTTTACAACCCCTTTGCCCCAAAGCTTTACTCTGAAAAACAGACAGTGAGCAAACTGTATGTGCAGTTTGCCTGTGCCTTTTAATTATTAAAATGTTTTCAAAGGTAACATTTCCAAACTGCAAACTACATTTTTCTCCATTGAAAAATATTTTCCAAAGGTCTAAACTTGAAAGATAACTAAAATTAAGTATGTGATATACCAAGAGTGAAAAAGAATAACCTCAAACCCAGCAAACTGGGCACAGGCCCTCTAAGAAACATGTACTTAGAGGACCCTGGTACGTGTCCTAACTGAAATGATTAGAGGTTTACAGTACCTGCTTTATAAAACCAACTCAGCCTTGTTAACTACTCACTTTGGAATCCAGATCTCCTGCTGTTGGGCTAATGCCTTCTCTCCATCACCCACTCTTGAGAAAAGTACTGCTGTTGCACTGAAATTAAATGATATGACTAACACTAATCTGAATACCTGTAACATTTCTGCAGAACTACTAAATGTGAATTTGGTTTGTTTTGAAACACCTATAAACATTATTTTGAATAAATCTCTTTAATTCAATAAATCAATACAACTGAATTACACAAAAACAAAAAAAAATCTCTACTGGGGTCTTAAGGAGCTGAAGATTCCCCTGAAAAAGAATTTGTAAGCAAGGAAGAATTAACACTGACAAATAAGGAGCAAACGCAGTAATATCTCTAAGAATCAAGAAATGAAGCAAAGTGGTATAGAGAGACTTAATGGGAAATTTATTCAGAACCAAAAACCTAAAAGCCCAGTAAGGGATTTTTTTAAAAATTACATACTATGGGGCTGGAGATTTAGCTCAGTGGCTCCACTGCCTGCCTCACAAGCTCAAGGTCCCAAATTCGATCCCCTTTACAAAAAAAAAAAAAAAAAAAAAAGAATTATGTACTATGTTCTTTTTATGCCTAAAGTTTTTTTCTATAAAGTTATGAGGTGAGTCTGAAAACTAATAGATATGTTGGTTTATTTAACAGTGGTCTTACAACAATTTATTTTGGGATGATTCTAATTCTCTGAATAATATTTATGTGTGCACGTTATATACAGTTAGCATTCTGCAGACCACAATGAGACTATCATTAGTCCCATTCACATAACTAATGGAAGAGATTGATCTTATTTTATTTTTGCACTAGGAATCGAATCTTAGGTCCTGCTCATGCTAAGTACATGCTGTACCACTGAACTACACCTGAGGCCCAAGAGATTGAAATTTTAAGTATCAACATACTATAAATATATAAATAATTAGCTAGCTGGATAATTTGAATTATCTATAAAAATTTAGTTTGGAGATACAAAGTCAACGACATCCCAGTTCAATCAGAAGGACCATCACAGAGGAGCAGGACAAAAATTTGATTTTAACTAAAAATGTATAACATTATATTGGTAATGCTATTTATTTCCTGTTCACTTTTAAAAAATCAACTTTAGGGCCGGGGATTTAGCTCAGTGGTTCTGGCTCCTGCCTCGCAAGCGCAAGTTCCTGAGTTCAATCCCCAGTACCAAAAAAAAAAAACCAAACAAAAACAAACAAGAGTTTAGAAAAAAAAAAAACCCAGATTTTCCATTTAATTATTTCTTTCATCCATTTCTCTATGAGGAACAAGGGAGAGATCTAGTATTGTTATTTTCCAATCATTTATTGAATGTCCACTTTCTAAATTGAAATGACACCATGTTATATATTAAATATCCACACACACATTTTCTGAGTTATTTTGTTGCACTGATTTTTTGCCCAGATCTATGCCCTTGCATATTTTAAAAACTGCTGTAGTGAATATGTCTTGCAGCTGGTCAAGAAAGTCTCCTGGTGCTAGTCTCCTTTGTCATCTAATTTATAAATTTCATTTAGGGCAAACTGACATTGTATTCTTTCAGGAATGTAATTGTCTTTCCAGTTGCTCTAGTTTTCTTTCTTCTACAACTCCATCCATTTATACTTGTACTTGGTATCTTTCTGGTGTTCTAATTTGATCTGGGGACTCCAAATATATAGGTATTTAACATAATGGAAAACATATGTATAGACGCTTTTCCTTAAATATCATTTTCTCTTGGGATTTTTTTGGCCAGGGTGTTGAGTACTGGACCCAGGGCTTCATGCATGCTAAGCACACACTGTACCACTGATCTAATACCTCCTGCTCTTAGCCAGGATTTTTACAAGAATTGGATAAATCCAGAGGTTTCTAGATTGCTGATTCTCTATAGTGACAGATTTATGTGGTCTAGAAACCAGAATTAAAATAGTGCCTCATTTCCCAAACATAATTCCACGATTCTGGTCACAAACCAAATTGGAAGAGAATCAAAGTTCCCCACTAGGTCAACACTGAGCCTAACCATTGAATTTGATAAGAAACACTGTCAGTCTACTAACACATTAACAAAAATATGAACGTTCCCCCAAATGAACAATGGATTCATAAACTAGTAGAAATGTAAAAAGTTTATTGTTAGATTCATACATTATAAAAATATGTTCGAATTTAAAAAAAATAATCCAGTATTCACTTCTGTGGTTTGAATGTGTCCTTCAAAAGTTCATGTGTTTGGGGCTGGGGATTTAGCTCAGTGGTTTTGCCGCTTGCTATGCAAGCGCAAGGACCCGAGTTCGACCCCCAGCACCAAAAA